AATTCCAAATAAAACAAGAGCTTAGTAGCCAAGATAACACTGAAAAAGTGATGATTATTATAGCCTGAACCTGATGAAAAACCCAATAAGCCCAGAATTTGTCGCAAGTAATTCTACAAACCAAACCAAAGAGTTCAATTATCAACTTAATAGCATTTCGCCTTTACTGGAGATATAAGCATTCCCCACAGAATTTTAAGGTCACGAAATCTTATCAACGTCACTGTCTTACTAAATGCCTTTTCCAATTATCAACCTAACTAGATTAGGCTTATTTGTGGAGTTCCTTCTCATAAATTTCTCAAAATTCACATGAATAAAGAGATTTTTTCTTCATTTCTAGTTAAATTGTAAACAAGAAACAAAGAAATATGTCAATAAGGTTTTCCTTTTCTAGACAATTAGAAAACCTAAACACACACAAAGGCAAAAAAAACGACGCGATCGACGGCTGAAGCACAAATTTTAACAGGAGAAATACGAGTTACCTGGATGTCGGAGATGCGACAGCGTTTCTCCGGCGAGGTTATTGATCTGAGCTTTAAATCGGAAATTGTAGTGGCCAGTGAGTGAAGGGTAAGGTTTTTTTTTTTTTTTTAAGATAGAAGACTAAGGCTTCGATCCTTAGCTACCAGGAACTATATTAATAGGGGAAAAAAGTTGGACTGCCTCTCGTAAATTTAAATAGCTTAAATGACAAATTGGTACTTAAATTATACTTTTTCCCCAATTTAGTACCTAAACAACTAGGACTTTATATTTTGTGAAATAAAAATGTTTAATTTACAAACAAGTATCTAAGCTATACCATTTTCTCAAGCTGGTACCCAAGTATTTTGCCTAAATTACAACATTAGTCATCAAACTATTCACTCTTTTCTACTTTGATCATCAAACTATTTTTTCTGTAAATTTAGTCACTAACGTTATTTTTTTCTTTATCAGTTAAGATTCCGTCCAAATTCACATATTCTAATCTATTTAGTCTCAATTTAAAAATTTCATTAAATTTAACCCTCAATATTTATAAATTATTTTGATTCGATCTTTAGTTTACTTTTAAATAATTTAATAAATTTAACTCTCTAAATGGTGACAAAATTAAATTGCCTAAAAGATCGGTCGAAAAGGCCGAAAAGATCGGTCGAAAAGGCCGAGCGAGTAATGCAGAAAATGAGGCATCTGGGATACGATAGATCAACAATAGTCTTTGATAATTTGCTTGGTCTTTGTTATGAAATGGACAGCTACATGATAATGGATGCTTTAATGCTGGAAGATCATAAGTTTCATTAGGTATAGCATCTTGTTTGGGATTCCCAGAACTCCTTAGACTGTTTCACCATCTCTGCGCGCTCCGCAACGAGTCTCTCTTTCCAATAATCTCTGTGCCTGTAAACAAATTTCGGCTCGAGTTTCAGTCTCTCTCACGCACACACACATATATATAGATGAATGTATGTATGTTTGTGTGTATCTAATACAAGTATACTCGAATATACATAAAAGAAATTAGGAGTTTTCAGTTTTGGTGACCACCTTCTCGTAATCAGCGCAGGTCTAGCTCTAGCATGTGTACTGCATTAGAATAAACTCCTGCCTGCACATGAGCGGATAAACATCGACACACAGGCTACGATTGATAAGCTATATCGAAATGTGTCGGAGACGGATGTCAAATATGGGTATTTTAAAGAAAAATTCAAACCTTTCTACATATGGGACACTTTGAATCCGGAGTCGAAGCTTTAAGTCCTTGAAAGATCATAGCAGAAGCAGCTGAGCAAGCACAAGATTTGCAGAAAAGATGACCACAACTCAAAGCGATAGATAAAATGATCAAAACCAAAATGGGATCAACACATTGCCTTTAAAAAGAACGGAAATCTACATTGAAGTTACGTGCTTACTGCTTACCAAGCAAATAGCACACTTTAAGTTGTATTCCAGCTTTATTGAATGCGGAAGCATCAATGTCATCACCGGTTCCGTCACATCGAGGTCGCATGAAAACGAACTGGAAAACTGAATGAGTGCTGCTTCACCATCTGATCCTTTGAAATTCATTGAAAGAGCTCCCAATTCTATCAGCCATGGCGATTGCAAAAGCTCTAGATGTCCAGCCCTCATCTTGGACTTAAAAGTTCCTCCCATTAGAAGAGCTATGCACCTAAAACCGATTGAAAATCAATTGAAACTGTCTAATTCAAAGTGATCGAGAAAAAAACAGGATATTGGATAGATACTTTATCATACTTCTTTAGGATTTTACGGATAGCGGTCGCATTCATCATGATATACTCGATTAACATCCGCACTTCCTTCACCAACGCTTGTTGGTCGTTCTTGAAGCATTGGCGCAACCGCAACACGTACCACTGCATACTGGTGGGAACATGAAGATGGAGGAGATGTCGGACTCGGGAACTAAAGCATCCAGCTATATCCGTCGCTTCCCTCATCAATTCAGCAAAGAACATTTGATCACACACTGAAAGATGAAGAAATCCATTAAAAGATCATCCGAAAACTATGTATCATGAACTTTATATCAGCAAAAGAACCAAAATTTTTAAAAATGCAAACGCTAACTTAATTGTTCATGTAAACTACCAATAACAAACAGGAAAAAACATCAACAGAGTTAAGTTCTTCATCAAGAAATTACCAATAAGAAAATGAACTCACCAGGGCAAGATTGACATTGGCAGAACTGAGACAATGCTGGATTCTGTTCTTCATCACGCAATGCTTTACACATCCTGCAACTTTTCAACAATTTCTTAAGCCTTTTGTACTCAACATGAGAACTTATCTAAAAACCATTCTTGATCACCATGCAAGTATTCCCTAAAAGTCTCTCCAAACTTCATTTTCTTCTCAGTATTATCAATCAAAAGTAAATCACATAAAAACCCAGACATCCAAAGTTAGAAAAGAAACCTTTCGATTTGAAAATAACACAATCTGATAATTAAAAGGTGTTGGGCAGCAACAAAAACAGGGGTTTTTAAGATAAGACAGAATCGAAGTTTATGATTCGATTTTGCTTTGTTTTTGTGTTCTTAATGAAAAGATTGTGGGGAGGGAAAAGGTAAGTGGTGTTTGTTGTCGTGACGAAAGTTGAAAGGTTTTGGAACATCAACGAGCGGTTGCCCCTTCACTTGGGTATTAACAGCGTTGGCAGTGGCAAACATTTGGTCCCCATGGCTCATGCACTTTGATGTTTCAGATATATAAGGATATTTGTTGTGGGCGAGTGTGCCACTTAGCTTGCCCTAGTTGCCATAGATTTCATTTAGAGACAACCATATAGGATAGAATAGTAAGATACATTGTATTAAATACCAATACTAACAACCAGTTGGTCTAATAGAATGAGGCACTAGGTCTCTTAAGTAGGTCAGGAGTTCAAATCTTGGTGGTTACAAATGGAGTAAACTGGGTTGAGAGGTCGCCTTTAAGCAAGGTCATTGTACGAGTGTGTTAAGATTGACGATGTAATAATGAAAGCAAGACAATAACAAAAAATATAAAACGATAAAATAAAGAACATAAAGATTTAACGTAAAAAAATATTTTCGGTAGATCGGTTCCATCATTTAAAGAAGAGTCGTATTCTTATATGGATTACAAGAGACCGTACAATTACATATGATAAGATAATTTATGTCTAATTTGATTCGATCTTATTTATTTAAAAAGTCAAATTCAAGCACAAGACTTTTTTGATTTTTTTTTTAAAATATTAAATTTAAATATTTACTAAAATAAATTACATAAATTCCCATCCTTAACGTTGTTTTAGTATTATCTAAAAGTAACCACCAAATTTGAGTTGAATATTTAGAGAATTTATTTCAAGGATAAGTCAAAATTAAGCGTACAAGGCAAGATGCTGTGTGTTATTAGTTAATAATTATCCTTCTCATCCCCTTTGTTTCATCATCTTCACATATAAAAACCATCCATCCACCTACTCCTCCTCTTCATCGTTCTCTCTTCAAGATGTCTTAGTGTATCCATTTGTTCAGTAACACAAAAATCTTTTAGAAAATTAAAGAAATGGAGACTGGATCTTCAAGGCTGGGGCTCATGGCAGTCTTTGCAGTTTCTGGAAGTATAGTTTTCATTGCAAATGAAGTCCATAAACGCCTCTTCTCGGATTTCTTGAGAAAGATCGAGTTCGAATTGGCTGGTAATACATGCATGCATGCATGCTTGCATGTTATTTTTGATGTTCTTGTTTAGGTTATTTTAACATTGCTGCATGAATGGAATTCTGGGTTTTTTTAGGGAATGGGAAATGTCAAGTGAAGAAAAGGGTTCGTTTTGCTGATGATGTGAGGGAACCGTCGTCGAATAACAAAGAATACAGGAGGAGAATTCAGAGTGTTGCGGCCATTGCAAAGTAGGCTGGAGTCGGTGGTGATGATGCTGATAGACGACAGCTTCTTCAAATGCCTCTCAATAGGCAGGTTTTGTATAGAGGGATTCTTCAATGTAAAAAAACCCTTTGAAAAGGAAGAAGAAGAAGAAGAAGAGAAATATTCTCTTTATTATGCATTGCAATTTGAATTTGAATTTACATTTACATTTACATTTTTTTAATTTTTGGATGAGATTCGTGTTGTAATTTTGTATTAAGGGTGTATTTGATGAACACCATAATGTAATTTCATGAAAATATAAATATTATTATCATGTAATTACAATAAATTATAATTTTATAAAAATATAACTATGATTATTATATATCATAAAAATAAAATGTAATTTTTCAGCTATCACGTCAATTACTCCGTTAAATATTAATTGCAAGGGGTTTGATTAGCATCATTTAAATACCTAAGTGATCTAATTAACCAAATTAAAAGATTGGTGGTCATGTTAAAATATCCGGGTAGTTAAGTGGTCATATATGTAATTTACCCTAAAAAATAAACATATACATTTTCAGGTCAAGACCACCCTGTTCGATTTTTCGGAGGAAACTGAACATCGGCAACAAAGGTAGTGGAGATCAAAAGGTTTGCTTGAATATGAGGTACTTAGTCAGATTCCATCACTTTCATTCACAATCCGGGATTCGCCTCCATTTCTCGAGACATAAGACTCTCGCTCTTCATTTTTCATCACTCTCCAAATCATCCAAACAAGCGAAGAAAGCCCAACAAGCTGAAACTTGTAGCATACCGTCACTCTTCCATGAAATAACTGATATTTTAGGATCTGTTGAATTAACTCCAGATGAAACCAAATCAGGGTTTTCAATAACTCCACAAACCACTGGCAGGGAGCTTGAATTCATGGAACAATCGTTGTCTAGAAGGCCGGGTGTTTGTCAAAATGCCCAGCAGAGGAGTGAATTGGTGGAAAAGAAGCGGAATGAAATAACTGACATTTTTGGAGCTGTTAAAGTAATCTCAGGTGAAATCCCATCTGGGTTTTCAATAACCCCAGGAACCAATGCCAGTGAGCTTGAGTTTATTGAGCAACCGTTGTCAGGCAGGCCAGTGGTTTGTCAAAATTCCCAGAAGAAGAGTGGATTGCTGGGAACAGAGGATAATGTAACGGTTTTGGATGATACTCAAATGGGGAATTCAGTCGAATTCGATGTTAGTCCTGTGGTTCATGAGATAACTAAGATAGTTAGAGCTGAAAACGCCTTGATTTCCATGGAGGAACAATTAGATAAATCAGGGTTTTCTTTTGAACCAGATATTGTTGAGAAAGTGTTGAAAAGGTGCTTTAAGGTGCCTCATTTAGCATTTAGATTCTTCAACTGGGTGAAGGTTAGACAAGGTTTTCGTTATACAACTGAACTTTTTAATACCATTCTGTATGTAAGTGGTGAGGCTAAAGAATATGGACTGGTTGAGAAGATATTGGAGGAAATGGAGGCGAAATCTTGTAAGAAAGATATAAAGACTTGGACAATTCTAATTTCACAATATGGGAAGTCAAAGATGATTGGCAAAGTGCTGGAAGTCTTCGAAAACATGAAGAAATGTGGTTTTGAACCCGACACAATGACTTATACGATGATGGTGCGTGCTTTTTGCAATGCTGAAAAAGGTGAATTAGCATTAGAGTTTTACAAGGAGATGGTTGAGAAGGAAATGAGCCTTGATTCAAATTCATACAAGATGCTACTGAATTGCGTAGCGAAATCAGGGGATAACGATTCGGTTCACTTGGTTGCGGATAACATGATGAGGGTCTCTGAGATTCCAGAACAAGAAGTTTATGGCTATGTATTGAAGAGTTTCTGTATTTCTGGAAGAATCAAGGAAGCTTTAGAATTTATTTGGGACCTTAGGAAGAAAGATTTGTCTTTAGACCCCCATTATTTCGAGATTCTGATCAAAGGGTTGTGCAGAGCTGATAGGATTGCCGATGCCATGGAGATTGTTGATATTATGAAGAGAAGACAACTGATTACCGAGAAGGTTTATGAGATTATCATCAATGGGTATTTGAGAAGAAATGATTTTTCCAAGGCATTTGATCTTTTCCAAACCATGAAGGAATCCGGGTTCTTGCCAACGGTTTCTACTTACTCTGATCTAATGCAATGCCTCTTTAGATCGAAGGAGTATAAGAAAGGCTGTGATTTATACAATGAGATGCTGGAGAAAGGTGTTGAACCTGATACTGTTGCTATTATGGCCATGGTTGCAGGTCATGTTGGCCAAAACCGTATATCCGAAGCTTGGAAAGTGTTCAATTCGATGGAGGATAGGGGGATTACACCCACTTGGAAAGCATATTCAGTATTCATTAAGGAGCTTGGTAAAGTTGCAAAGAAAGATGAAATTTTTCAGGTTTTATGCAAAATGCAGGAGGAAAAGGTAGTCATACGAGATGATGAGATATACCGTTGGATTATATCTAGCATGGAGAGAAATGGAGAGACAGATATTGTTGAAAAATTAAAGAAGTTGCAGAGAATTAGTAAAATTCATTCTCAGGCCGATGAGGTAAGCAATAACGGCTTCAAAGGACAGGACCTCCTCCCCGATTCGGGTGATAAACATTTAGAACCCAAGAGGACAGACTGTAACCAAGTACAGTCCCTTTCGAAGGCCTTCAACAAGCAAGACCCGGAAGAAGTGTATAGAATAATATCATCCTCAAAGGATTGGTTCATTATTGAAAAAGGTTTGGAGAGATGCAACATTAAGTTCACACCAGAACTTGTTGTGGAAATACTGCGAAAGAGCAGTTTGCATGGTAAAAATGCTTTAAATTTCTTTTCATGGGCAGGAAAGCAAGCCGGTTATCAGCACACTTTAGAAACTTACAACATGGCTATCAAAATCTCCGGATGTGGGAAAGATTTCAAGAACATGAGAAGGCTCTTCTATGAAATGAAAAGGAGGGGTTGTTTAGTATCGGATACGTGGGCGATCATGATAATGCAATATGGTCGTACTGGTCTAACCGAAATTGCGTTGAGGACTTTAACTGAGATGAAATCCGACGGTTTTAATCCAACCGCTAGTACCTACAAGTACTTGATCATATCACTCTGCGGGAGAAAAGGTAGGAAGGTAGATGAAGCCGTTCAAATCTTCCAAGAAATGATCCGTGCTGGATTTGTCCCCGACAAAGAGTTGCTTGAAACATATCTTGGCTGTTTATGTGAAGTTGACAAGCTAACAGAAGCCAGAAGCTGTGTGGAATCTCTCAGCAAGATTGGATTCTCAGCTCCACTAAGTTATTCCTTGTATATTAGGGCACTTTGTCGAATAGAGAGACTCGAAGAAGCTTTAGAAATATTAGATAATGCCGGGACGGAACAGTCCCCATTGGATCAGTATGTTTATGGAAGCCTTGTCCATGCACTACTACGAAAGGGTCGATTCGAACAAGCGCTGGCTAAGGTGAACTCCATGAAGCAGGCCAACATTCATCCAACCGTCCATGTTTATACATCCTTGATAGTTCATTTCTTCAAGGAGAAGCAACTCGGGAGTGCATTGGCGGTTTTGGCAAAAATGGAAAAGGAAGGTTGTCTGCCAACTATCGTTACTTATTCTGCAATGATTCGCGGCTACATGGACACGGGAAAGGTTGCCGATGCTTGGAACATCTTCCGCCATTTGAAGATGAACGGACTGAAGCCTGATTTCAAGACTTACTCAACGTTAATTCGCTGTCTTTGTAAACTAGGTAGGTCCGAGGAAGCTATGCAGCTTTTATCCGAAATGCGAAACTCAGGGATCGCTCCTAGTGCCGTCAATTTTCGGACTGTCTTTTATGGTCTGAATAGAGAAGGTAAGCATTCTTTAGCTCAAGCTGTATTGCAACAAAAATCTGCTCTAAAAAGTGAACGCAAGCTTTCACCATGATTAAAATCATTTCATTGTTTCAATTCATATCTTGCTGAATATCAATCACTTGAAAGATGATTAGAGCATGAAATCCAATGGTTTACAGATAGATGTTTGAGCTTCCAGGATGATCGAACCACTTAGATTTAAACACGATTATAAAACGAGAAAATACCCGAACACAGTCCGAATACACAAAACTACACCATTTCCTGGGATTCCCCTACACCATGTAACCTCACTAATGGCTGCGTCTTGGTATGTGGCCCTCATTAGACTTTCCCAAGCTCCCCATTAATGGCTGCCTATGAATCATAATTGTAGAGATCCTATCGAAACCCGAGCCGAAAGGGATTGTTCATTTCGATTCAGTATATTTTCAGTTTTTATAGGATATTAAAAAATATTTAAAACTTTTGTTTTAATAATGAGGATGATAATCAGCAGCCAATTGGTTTGTTTCCGACTGAATTTGTAGCTTTTCGTAAACGGGCGGCAATAATCTAGGGATGGCCATGGGACCCGAACTCGACGGGTTCCGACTCGACCCGAGTCGGATTTTTTTAAAAAAAAATTTGGGTTTGGGTTAGGTTTTTTTAATGTGATGTTCGGGTCGAATCGAGTTTGGATTTAGAGTGAAAAATATTCGACCCGACCCGAAAAAAATATATAATTTTATCTTATATATTTAAGAATAAATACAATAATATCTATCTATATATTAATTTTTCAATTAAGTCATTGTTTTTATTATATAAAAATAATTTTTATTATTATTTCGGATCGGGTAAAAATTTATTTTGGTCGGATCGAGTCGGGTCTCGATGCATGACTCCTTTTTCTCGGGTCGGGTTGAGTGGACCAAAAACCCGACCCATGCCCATCCCTACTAATATCCCACTACTTTACTTTTTCATAGTATAAAAAGAAAAATAATTTATTATTTATCATGGTTGTTCTCATTTGAAAATATTTTTAAGAATAATTCTTTTATACATTGTCAGCGAAATTGAAAAATTATACAAAACTAATTTAAAATATTATCATATGTTTTTATAGAAAAAATGTAACATTAATATGATTTTAAAATTAATTATTTTATTATGAATGTATTAAATCTATTAAATGATGATATTTTTTTTCAAGAATTGAATTGGATTTGATTGTTAATTTTTTAAAAAAGAAATTAATAAAATATTATTTTTTAAGGCGTGAAAGAGAGAAGGTGATGTCATTTTCATTAAAAGAAATTCTATAGATTAATGATGTTTGATTAGTCAAAAAGTTTGGTTTTTTAGTCAAAAAGTTGATGATTAGCTAATCAACCCAAGCGTTAGTGTTACACGTGGCAATAACCCACACCACCAACGGAAAGCACTCCTCGCCAAAACATTAGCTCAAAAGACTCTTATGATTTTTTTATAATAAATTATAAATAAAGTCATAATTTAATGATTAAATTAAAATTATAAATTTTTTTAGATTTTAACTTCTATAATCCTTGAATAATACGATGAAATTATATCACATATATTGAGTATAAGGTTATACATTTCGAGCTTTTTATATCTCTGATATATTTGATACTCGAATTTAAAATTAATTTTTTTAATTATTGAGATAATTTATGTATATATATTAAATGTTATTGAAAGTCTTAATCGTACTTTTTGGAAAGAGAGGTCGGAAATATTATTGGGGTGATGGGTACTTCCTTTCCTATATCTTTTATAAGCTAAGCATAAGGGCAAATAGCATTGACAAAATAAAAACACATTTTAAAATAAAAATCTTTTTAAGGGATAATATTTTATAAATTATTCGGTTCGAATCAATAGATTTGCCTCATAACCCGATTTTAATGTTTTCTATTACAAGATAAAGTTACTCGTAATAATTTAGACATTTTTCTATAACATTGAACTGGTAACTTTATATCATATAAGGACATACATGGAAAATATTAAAAGTTCAATCAAAAAACTCGAACAAAAAAATAGATATAAGTAAATCTGATTGTATCGACAAATGAACTATGAGAGGGGATTATGCTATTAAGACCATTGAAAACCACACATCAGAGTCGTGTGTCATGAGAAACTATCCACGACCGTAAGATCGTGTATTCATATTCAATCTGGTGGTCCTTAACAGGGAAGATCAACCGGATTACAAATAAACACCATCTTGATCAGTCATACCGTCGTCAAATACAACAATGAGAAAACATAAAATAAAATGAACGGCCAAACGATTGAAAAAAAGACGAAAAACGTGCCAAAAATGCAAAGAAAAACGTGTCATAAAAACAGAGATAAACGTGTCACAAAGTCAGAATTATTCTTATTAAAAAATAAAAAAGAAACAAGGAGAGAAGAGAGCCGACGGTCGACACCAACATAAATCGTCGTCGTCGTCAGCTAAACAAAATCGAATAAAAAGTTGATATTATCAATAGAAAATGGTATAAACTCTAAAGGAAAAGAAAAGAAAATGGAGGAAAGTGGCCAGGGCTTGCTTTTGGTTAGTTTTCGATTATTTCTAAAATAAATAAACGATTAAAACGTTAAAAAGATAAAAAAAAAATTTGAGTAGTTCACTTTTTTAAACGGTCGTGATGAATTATACACTTATAATGATAATGTTAAAAATATTAAAGTATATGTTAACAAAAAAAGATAAATATTTAATATGAATAAACAATATAATTTAGACATTTATTATTTAATTAAGCCTTTAAAAGTATGTTCAAACCCTACACGGGTAACGGCCATTTGTTGCTCACACTGCGGCCACAGGCAAGCCAATACCATCGTCTAATGAAATATTGTGTTTTAACACGTGGCATTTTTTCATTCGTTGCAAATCTTGTATTTTAAAAAGTTAGTGTCAATCTTTCGTCCAGATCAGATCCGAAAATGTATACCTCCACCCGACCCGAACCCGATCCGACCAGATCTGAAATAATAATAAAATATTATTTTTATTCAATAAAAATAATTTAATTGAAAAAAATAATATATAGAGGGGTATTATTGTAATTATTCATAAATGTATAAGGTAAAATTATTTTTTAGGGGTCGGGTCCGATCGAATATTTTCATCCTAAACCTGAATTTGATCCGACTCGAACATCATCTTTAAAAAACCCGACCCAATCTAACCCAAACTCAAAATTATCGGATCGGGTTCGAGTCCATGCCCATCCATAGTGTTAATCTAACGGGGACAAAAGGGTCTAAACTTATGCTGTTGAGGTATAGTAACTGGATTGAACCCCACGTATGGGGCACAGGGTCCTAAGCTTTATCACCAGTTTGGCCAACTAAACAATCATTTAAAAATGTTTTTGAGGTTAAGAAATGCTGAAGCAAATGCAAGTTGATGATGGCTTGCCCAAGTTCTAAGGCTCTAAAATGGAATTGCCCCACACCCCACGATGGATGGTTGGAAGGTAAAGGTACCCTAAATTTCGATGTTTATGAAACTTAAATGAATTTCAATTATATTCATAATTAAGTCAGATTTAATTTTCAAAATGATAGGCAAAGCCCTTCAGACACTAATTTTTTATCTAAATAATTTGAATCTCGTACCTTATTTAAGAAATCTCGAATTTACAATTACTCGACTCGCATATATTTTATCTATATTATACCATATGCATACCTAGTTTTTATACATTTTTTTAGCATGCATTTGATGTTGTTTTGATGTTATTCTCGTGACATTTGTTTTTTGATTGGTTTATTTACGTATAATCAGATTTTTTATTTGGTAAAAGATTGTTTGTCGATATAATTAGAATTGTGTATAGAAGCAGTCTGCCAGATAGTTTGATTCGCGCACTACTTCTTTATCACTTCGCAACATCTCGTTTGACAGAGACATAGAGTTTTTTATGAAGATTATAAATTTTTTTTATGTTGAACGTTATTCTCAAGAGAATGTTTCGTTTTTCTTCGTCTCTTTGAGTTTAATATTTTTATTTTTGCATGAATTTTTGTGTGACTATTGTCCCTATTTTGTACACTATATTTGAATGCATCGTAATTTTGATTCATTTCATTTGTCATTGTTAAAAAATATCCATATGTATGAATATTTAATTTATTTCTCAAAATAAAAAATATATATATACAAAACTCCCTAACTTGATTTGGGAAAAATATCAACAATTTTTTAAAAATATATATAACTAAATATTATATAATAAAATATAAAATTATTAAATTAAAAAGGGTAAATTATGCGTTTAGTACCCCAACTATCACTTTTGTTACGTTTTGGTTACTCAATTTTTTTGTTTTAAAATCATACCTAATTTTACATTTGGTTTCATTTTAATCACATGCAGTTAAAAAGTTAAAAATAATGCTAGCATATCACCTTAAGGTAACGCCATGTCATTATTGAAAGAAATCAATATTAAATTAATATAATATTTTTATATTTATGTATCATTTTTTGAAAGAAATTACTAATTTTTATTCAAAAGAAATATATTAAATTACAATAAAGATTTATAATCATACTTGTAAATTAAAGATTTACAATCATAATAGTAAATTAAGCACATAATTAGAATAATTTCCTATAATTATTGAAACAAAACTAACAACTTGTAATCACATAAAGACGATACAAGGAAATATTAAAATCTAACAAAGAAAACTCGAACAAAGATATATACAAACATATTTGATCGTATCAGCAAACAAACTACAAAAAGGATCAAGCTACTAAAATGTTACCGACAAACCGCAAATCAAACTAGAACGATGTGAAAAGCTATCCACAAACGAATAACGAGTATCCAAATTCAGTCTAAAGGTCCAAAGTAGAGAAGTTCAATAATATAACAGATAAGCGTCATATTGATCAATTGTGGTGATGTCTAATAAACCCTTAGAAAATGATAAATAAAATCAACGACCAAACGATCGAAAATATGTAAAAAAAGAAAAGAAAGCATGTCATAAAAGATAAAAGATAACGTGTCATACAAATAAATAATAAAAAATATCGACGATCGACAACCAACGCTACAATTTGTGCTGATGTCGATCAACAAATAAAAAAAAGAGATGAAAAGATTACCAATAAAAAGTTAAAAGAAAAAACTTTTAGATCTTAATGTATAATTATATTTAAGATTTATAATTATCTTCTACAACAATATATTTTGAGGAGTTCCAACATTTGTTAATCTCTTGCTTTGCTAGATTTTCCCTTAACCTCCTTTAATCCTTGCAGTAGTTGTTAACCTCTCTCTGTCTCTCTCTCTCTCTCTCTCATTATAAAACCATCCTTTCCTTTCTCACTCTTTCATAACGACTGGTCTTTCTTTGTCTGTTCTTCCAAATCGAATCAATTCCACTTCTAACTTTTAAAAATCTCCATTTTTGATAATTTCTTTAACCACCCTCTCTTTGATTCAAGGACCCTCAAGATTGTCTCTTTCCTTCCTTTTTGTGTTTATATTTCAGAAGATCCAGGGAGAAAACATATTAGATTTCTGGGTTTTGTTGTTTTTCTGCAATCAATTCAAGGAAATCACGTTTCTTTTTCCTTTTCTGGGTTCTCTTTTAAATGGTGGTGAAGATGATGAAGTGGCGACCATGGCCGCCGCTGGTTTCGAAAAAGTACGAGGTGAAATTAATCGTGAGGAGGCTGGAAGGTTGGGATCCGGTAAGGCAAGGTGTAGAGAAGCCGGAGAAATTAACGGTGGAGATTCGATGGAAAGGTCCAAAGACATCCCTCAGTTCTTTGAGGCGAACGGTGAAGAGGAATTTCACGAAAGAAGTCGACGGCGTTGACGCGAACGACGTCGTTTTGTGGGACGAGGAGTTTCAAACCCATTGTAGCTTATCGGCTTATAAAGACAACGCGTTTCATCCATGGGAGATCGCTTTCTGTGTCCTGAATGTAAGTGTTTTTAGAAAATTATATGTATTATGAGAATTTCTGGGTTTTTAGGCATTTCAAATTTGCTGAATTTTCTATGAATTTTTTCATGTCCATGCCTATGAATTTTGTAAATTTTTTTTTACATATTTGTTGGACCAATTGTGTTCTGTCTGAACTTTTTGAGTGTTGTAGCTTCACTTGAACATAATAATATGGTTGATTAACTGATTATTGGAGGCTGAGGGATTCAGGATTCTTACCTCAAGGGATTGTTTATCGAATTCGGTTTTGAGAAGTTATCTCTTTGAACTAATTGGAAGCGGCTTTTGTTGATGCAGGGCTTGAACCAGGGACCTAAGAACAAGTTTCCTGTCATTGTCGGGACGGCATCCCTGAACCTCGCTGAATATGCTTCTGCTGAACAGAAAGAGTTTGAGTTTAACATCCCGCTCACGGTCTCCGCTGGTGCTGCTGAGCCTGGTCCGCAACTTTACGTATGTGCCTTCACTTAAACTATGCTTGATTCATTGGTTGTTGTTCTGATTTTAGGTTGTCATTAATCGTGTAGATATCACTTAGCCTTTTGGAACTACGAACTGCCCAAGAAGCCACTGAGCCGGTACAAAGAGCATTAGTGCCTGTTGCATCACCTGTCCGATCTGGAGAAACGGTCTCAATGGAAAAGGATGAGCATTCTGCGATTAAAGCTGGTCTTAGAAAAGTTAAGATTTTTAAAGAGTATGTTTCTACCAGGACAGCTAAAAAGGCCTGTCGAGAGGATGAGGGCAGTGAAGGAAGGTGTTCTGCTAGGAGTGATGATGGTGAGTATCCGTTGGACACAGATTCACTTGATGATTTCGAGGAAGGAGAAACGGATGAGGGCAAGGACGACTCAATTGTTCGAAAATCATTTAGTTACGGTAATCTGGCATATGCAAATTATGCTGGAGGATCGTTTTATTCCAGCATGAAGATCAACGAGGAAGGTGAGGATTGGGTGTACTACAGCAACCGTAAATCTGATGTTGGCTCCTCAAACATTGAGGATTCTGCTGCATCAGTGTCGGAGACATCCTTGCTGTCAAATTCAAAGCGCAGCATTTTGCCTTGGAGAAAAAGGAAGCTGAACTTTAGATCTCCGAAAGTTAAAGGGGAACCATTGTTGAAGAAATCCAATGGAGAAGAAGGCGGGGATGACATTGATTTCGACCGCCGCCGTCAACTTAGCTCTGATGAATCCCATGCACTTGGGGTAAGAATAATTTTCTGATTCTTAATTTAGTTTTAATTCTGATTACATCTTTTGATCATCAATGTTCTTGCATCGGATTTTTAATCCCGAGTTTTTCCGTGTTATGTCTTGATGTTCTTATGAATTCATACAACTCTCATGATGCATGTGTTTATGTATTTGATTCGAGATTTTTATATCCTACATTCTAACGCATTTCATTCTTTTATAAACTCTGGTAGTTTGAGTTAAAGCATATGAAGTTCTAAATCTAACTACCATTTCTTTTGGCAGTGGCACAAGACGGATGAAGATTCATCTGTGAATCGTTCATCAGTTTCTGAATTTGGGGATGATAGTTTTGCTATCGGCAGTTGGGAACAAAAGGAAGTGGTAAGCCGTGATGGGCACATGAAGCTTCAAGCGCAAGTCTTCTTTGCTTCTATTGATCAACGGAGCGAGAGAGCAGCCGGTGAAAGTGCATGTACTGCCCTTGTTGCTGTCATTGCTGATTGGTTTCAGAATAACCGTGATCTGATGCCAATTAAGTCTCAATTCGATAGTTTGATCAGAGACGGTTCGTTGGAATGGAGGAACCTCTGTGAGAATGAAACCTATAGGGAGCGGTTTCCTGATAAACACTTCGATCTCGAGACGGTTCTCCAAGCGAAAATACGTCCTCTTACTGTAGTTCCAGGAAAGTCCTTTATCGGGTTTTTCCATCCAGAGGGGATGAATAAGGGAAGATTTGACTTTTTGCATGGTGCAATGTCTTTTGATAACATCTGGGATGAGATTAGTCGTGCCAGTGAAGAATGCCTTAATAATGGTGAACCACAGGTATACATCGTTAGCTGGAACGATCATTTTTTTATTCTCAAGGTCGAACCTGAAGCTTACTACATAATCGACACATTGGGAGAGAGGCTTTATGAGGGATGCGATCAAGCTTACATCTTGAAATTCGACAGCAGTACCGTAATTCACAAGCTAGCAAATACGGCTCAATCAGCAGATGATAAACCAACTGGTGATGAGAAGATCGCAACAGCTGCGACCAAACTGAAAATTTCACCGGTTCAACAACAGGTCAATAGGAAGGAGGACAGTTCTGTTGCAGGGTACGTAGCAACCAAACCCGAGGAATCGGTAAAGAGTAAGGACGTTGAGGAGGTTGTTTGCCGAGGAAAGGAGTCTTGCAAGGAATACATTAAGAGCTTTTTGGCTGCTATACCTATTAGGGAATTGCAGGCAGATATCAAGAAGGGTTTAATGGCATCAACACCGTTACATCACCGACTACAGATTGAATTCCACTATACCGAGTTCTTCCAACCACGACCTGAGACTTCTGCAACTCCGATGACAACCGCTACTCAAATGACAACAGCCGAACGGTAGTTGGCCGAAGCTCCGTTAACCAAAGTTGCTGCATAGAGACTTACTGTAAAATGAGTAAATCCTAGGAAAAGTGTGATTTACCCTAACTTGTTTTCTTTCCCATTTGCTATGAGTATCTTATGATGTGAATGCAGTTTAATTTAACAAAGAGGAACTCTTTGGACTCGAGTATGAGTGTCGAATACGAGTGTATTTTTAACACGGACATGATCAATAAAATTTCTTGTATTCAACAATTATGGAAATACTCTCCTGTTTTAGCTCAAGGTGTAACATTGCAGCTTTGTTGACTGATGGTAAAAATAATATGATTTCACGGGTTCCAATTTCCCATATGATTGCTGATGACAGGTATGATTCTCTGACTAAAATCCCAGATTTTCTTTTCCTTCTTTTTCCCTGTATCCTACAGGAGGCAAAGCTGAGCTTTCTCAAGGGTGGTGTTTGGGGGCCGAGAAAGAGAGAAGATTCTTTAGACCATATGGTCCAATTACAGAAAAAAGAGGGAACTTTCTCATAAAGTTGCTTCTTTTGATTCATTCAACAACTTGTCTTCATCACATTTGTTTTGGATTCCTCTCAATAACTTTATCTACATCTGAAGGAAGAGGCCATGTGCATGCCTTCTTTATCGCCCTACTTCATAATCATTTCAATCTCATCTATTGTAGACCATGACATCACATTCAAATTGTCAACCTTCACCTTTAACATATCCTTTCCATGCTTCTACAAATTGGTGCATTTCACACTACCAAACTTTCACAAATGTTGTTTTCATCTTAATTATATCTATTTAGGTTTTAAATTATTTCGGTTTCAGACGATAATGATACCATATTAGTCGAGGAAGGGAAATTAGATACGAAGTTTCACCATTTTTGTTCCTCTACAAATCACTGAATTAAGGACTCAAGAAACACCAGCATGCAATTTTCAGCAGCAGGACAGACATTTAATCAATCCGTTTTCATTACAATCATTGCATCTCTTAATGCAAAACTCATGATGATGATGATGATCATCATCATCATCACAGCCTTTTTCTTCATAAATCTTGCGGCTGCCATTGCAGTTGGAGCAAATCAAGAACCTCAGATTGCCACAACAACTGCACACGTTGTTGGCGACATTGCCACTTGAAGGTATCTCTTCCAACAGCTTCTTCAGCTTCCGTTGCTCGTGAAGTCCGACGACCTCGTCGGCTCCACCGATGTATAGGCCTTTGATGAAGAGCTTGGGAGGGATGACACGACCGCCCAACATGATCCATAACTCTTCCCTGAATCCCTTGTCCATCGAAACATCTCTCTCGTGGACTGATACCTTGAAACTGTCCAAAAGAAACCTTATTCTGCTGCAGTCTTCGAATGTTTTCCGGATCACTCTCATGCTTGTCGTGTAGAAAACGACTGCATTCTCACCACCCCGTGGACATTTCTCTTCAAAATCCGTCAAACACGGATGTTCGACATCGAATTCGGGTTCTTTTCGATCTTTAACATTATGCACTGATGATAGTTCCGAGAGATTAACGTTGTTGGTTTTGCAGTTTTGGTGGGAGAAAGTGCGTTGATGAAAGACTGAGCCTTGTTTCAAAGTGTTGATCTTTGTAGGGTTGAATTTGAATTTCTTTAGAAACCCTCTTCTTCCCTGCATGCCTTTCATCTCTTTAGCATGGAAATGAGTGGAAACTTTGAATGAGAGCTGTTTGGGAAGAGAGAAAGCTGTAGGAGGATGAGATTTCAAATGGCAGGAAAGTGATAAAAAATGGAAGATAAGGGGTAATGTGTTGGGATTGCTTTTAAAAGTTTTGATTGATCACTGAAACCAGTGGGGTATCCCTTCACCATTGGACTACACTGACCCATAACCAACATTTTGGTGCCCTCATCATAGCTTAAGGGCAACAACATGCATCATTCAGTCCCTAACTTGGCAATATACATAATTTTTGTACATTCCTATTATATTGAGTTAAAGTTTTATTTTAATTAATCACACTTGTATCCGATTTATTGACCGACTAATCCAGATCGGGTACTGTAGAGGCGAGGGCAACCCTCCCAACCCAGTTTACTCCATTCGCAGACGTCAGGATTTAAACCTCTGACCTTACTTAAGGGACCTAATGTATCATCCCACTATATCAACTTGTTGTTGTTGGGTTAAAGTTTTATTTAATCCTTGGATATTTTTCTCATATTAGTTTTTGAGTTTTTTTTACACATTAATCTCTATTTTCTTTGTCCACCTTAATACCTAAATTAAAAACTATATAAAAATGACATCGATTGTCTGAAATAATTTAATCAATTAGTAATTATAAGAATTCGATGAGTGATCTCAGTGACACAAGAAAAACGGTATATACTACAAAAGGACCACAATCAAGAATAATGGAGGGACAAAGAAAACTCATGGACTAATGTGGGAAAAATAGTTAAACTCATATATTAATACGGACCAAAAAATAAACCTAGGGATTAATATGGACAAAACCCGGGGGACTAATGTGGAAAAATAACCAAAAATCATGGATAAATGAAAATAATTCTTTAGCGTTATAATAATGTTAAATTATGGTTTTGGTCCTCCACTAGGATCAAATTTGGGGGATTTGTTCCCTATAATTTGATTTGTCACAATCTTTATTACTTATTTTATAATATTATTAATAGTCACAATAAATAAATATTATAAGTCACAATAAATAACATTGCTGAACTTTCCAATCAAAATGTTGACCATAATTTTTCCTTTAAAAACAGTTGTAATTAATCATGTTTATGCAAACTTTTTTTGTCAAATTTTATGTTTGGTACTTGTACTATGTATAAGCTCTGAATTTAGTCCATGAACTACAAATTTCGATTTAGATTAGTCGATCAAAAGATCGAGTACCGGTGATTAATTCAAAAAAGAATTAACCCCGAGCATTTTGTGTGATTTCAATTTCCCTCTTTGTTCATACATTCATGGTTTCTAAGATGACAAAGTTACCATTTAGCTTTCGTAAGGGATAAAGCAACGGTTAGCCCCTAAACTTAATATTCTTTCCAATTTGATCCTTGAACTTTTTCGGTCCATATTAATCTCATAATTGGTAATTTTTCTCAACTTAATCCACAATTTAGTCCATAATGAAATCAAGTTCAAAGATCATTTTGGATTTTTTTTTTAAATTCTTGGACTAAGGTGGACCCAAAAAAATTTTACATACCAAGTCGAGAAAAGTTTTTAAGTTCAAGATTTAACTTGGATAAAAAATATTTATATATAATAATAATATTTTTTTAGTAAATTTAATGAATAATATCTTATATTTATATCCGAATCTAACACATAATGAGCAAGACGAGTATGAAACAGAGAATGTTCAATTTTGCCATTCCCTTGTAACAATTTTAGGGTTAATGAATGGTGTGAGAACTAAGAAGACAAAATGAAAGTGCAAATAACAATATTTTCTTCAATCAACCACCGGACCTGCTCGGTAAAGGAACCACCTGAACATCAGCAAGCCGCGTCGGGACCGGAGATGTCCGACAAACGGGACATGTTGGGTACAACCGCAACCATTGGTCGACACACTCTAGATGGAACAAATGTCCGCAACCGGGCAGCAGCCTAAGGCTATCGTTACCCTTGTAATCAGCCAAGCATACGGAGCAGCACGTATCAGCACAACCTTTCTTCAAGAGCTTTGCCTCGGAGTACATCAGCTCCGGGTAGCTTTTTATCGTTTCCTCGTCAAGGCCGACGAAGCTCTCGGAACCAACGTCTGCGGCAGGCGGGGCTTGTTGTTGTTGAAGTGCCTTGGTGCACACGTAAGAAGCCAATACTATGGTGATTATAAGCAAGAGGATTCCGACGGAAACTCCGATCCCGTATCCAAATCCATCGACGGTTTCGGAGCCTAAGGTGGAGCTCATTTCATGGAAGAATGAAAGGATAAGAAGAAAGAGGGAAGATCAAAGATAGAGATGAGAAGGCAGGCCTTTATGATGATCAATTCATGTTCAGAATTGTTACCAAAACAAATTATGCTTTAAATTAAAATTTATGGAGTATTTATTTGTCTGCAGGTTCTTGGAAGTCAAAGGTTCTGATTCTGTTTTTTCAGATAGATACTGATTGATTTTTCTACTTCATCTTTTTTTTATTTGAGTGAAGCCATTAATTAATGATGGAGTAATCATAATAGGAATAATTCGAAAAAATTAATAATGAAATTAATAATTTTTTTTTAAAAAAGGACCAAAATAGGAACACAATCAAAATTAAATGGTGAAAATCATAATTTAGCCTTTAATTTTGATTGTATAAATTAAATTTTCAGCGCATCAAATCAAACATAAATATTTATTTAACAGTTGCATGATAAGACATAGGGATGTGCAAAACTACCTGATCCGACGACCTGAATCTAAAAAAATTGGATAATTTTCTAAAAAATTTATTTGACCCGACATTTCACTGGTTGGGTCTAGGTCATAAAATTGAAGTTTTCCAGGTACCAGGTTACCCGAATACCCCGTTAATTTATTATATATATATATATAATATAATGAATTATTTATATTATAGATTATTAGATTTTGCATTTCAAACTTTTAAATTTTACGTTCGGAGTATGTAATTCGAAGTTCCGAACATTTAAATTTGTGTATATATTGTTTTAAATTAATAATTTAAAAATAAAAAAAACGGGTACTGGATACCCGATTACCGGGTACCCGCAATATCCGGTTGGGACACGGGCCGAGAAATCACCGACCCGAATGTTGCGGGTACCCAGATTTGCACACCCTTAATAAGACATCTTATTTATCTAAATTTTTTTTTTATGAAAATCCCTTAAAACTTTATTTTCATTTGGTTAAACCCCCCCCCCTAAAGTTTTACTTCACAAAGTTTTAGTCTTGAATTGTTATACTCTCTTTGATTTTTCAAAGTCGGAGTTTCTTCTTTCAAATTTCGATGGTGCAAAAGAAGAGATAAACAATACACTATGATCAGGTTGATCAAACGATGAACATTATGTATCGGAATTATTCTTTTAAATTTTAGATTTAATTTCGTGAGTTTTAAAGAGATTTTGAAGAAAAAAAATCTAACTACTAGAGCGATAATTGATTATGAGACAAGTACATCTTTCGATTCTCTCCGAGTTGTCCTCGCACCTCGGTGTGCGACGACAACACCGTCGGTTCATTTTCATCAGAGATGTACATTATAATACAAGCTTTAATGCCACATAGTGTGGTTAGCTCGCCCACTTTCTTAAACAACCCTTACCTCCTTTTCATGCAAGCTTGACCTTCTTTCTTATCATTGCTTTATTGCTTGGCAAACCCTAATTTCAATGGAGGATGAAAGAAGAGAATGCTATTAGGGTTTGCTTCAATAGATGACCCAATGATCTGTTTAAACAGTGAGGGAAATGAAGATTTTAGAAGTTGATTTAGTATATTCGAATTTTAATTTTATAAATGGAATAATTTTTTATAACATTTGATTTAGATTAATCAATTAATAAATTATATACAAACAATTATATAAAAAATATAATATATTAAATTTAAAATTTAGTGATTCGAGACTCATGTCTTGTCTCATTTTGTATGTGTTTCAATTAATATCATACAAATATTTCAAAAAAAAAGAAGTTTATTATTTATATTAATATTTAAAGTTAATTTGTGTTTGATGTCATTAACTAATGTGATGTCAATTCAATTAAAAATTATAAAATTATTTTTATTTATAAAATACAATAAATATTAATTAAAGATGATATTATATTTTCTTACTTTTACAAATCTTTAGTATAAATTACATGAAATTTGTGTTTATACAAAATTTTATTAAATAAATAAATTTATACTTTGATATTTAAATTTCGATTTTTATTTCTAAAATGATATAATATTCAAAACGATGACTATGGTGGCTTTTTCAAAGCAAACAAATGCAATATAAAGACTAGAGATGGGTATGGGTCGGGTTGGGTCAGATTTGTGGTCTACTCGACCCGACCCAAGAATAATGACTCCTCTACACGAAATCCGATCCGACCCGTATAAATATATACCCTTCACCCGACCCAAAATAATAATAAAAATATTATTTATATTCAATAAAAATAGTGATTTAATTGAAAAAATAATATATAGAGGAGTATTATTGTAATTACCCCTAAATATATAAGGTAAAATTATATTTTTTTGGGATCGGTTCGGGTTGGGTATTTTCACATTAAAGCCGAATCTGACCCGACCAGAACATCATCTTTAAAAAAATCTGACCCAAACCTATCCGACCCGACTATTAAAAGTTACAAAATGATCACCATACTATTCATTTGTTTCAAACTTGTTTCTTTTAATTAAAAATTGACTACCGCTTGAACTGAATGTTAATTTGTTAATTTGTTGATTGTGATACGATAAATATTTTTATAAAAAAATATCTCAATCTAATTTACTATATAATATTATAACAATTATTATTTTTGTTTTCTTTTATTATTATTGTATTGTACATAGTACAAAGAACTTGGTGTGAAAATTGAAGGTGATTGGCGAGTGGCGTGTATTTCCATTGATTTACACACTTGTGAGATGCAAGGCCGTCAGTTGTCTCTCTCTATAATTCCTTTTTGCTTAAATTTATACCGACATGGCTCCTAACAGTTGGTGTTTCTTCTCTGCCTTTGCTCACTAAATCTCTGCATCTCCTCTTTGTTTTACTCTATATGTTAGTTCTTCTTCTTCTTCTTCTGTTTAGTCTCTAATCATCTCTATCTGTTTGTTTTGTTGTCTCTTTCATCTTTTTTGCTCTCCAGAATTCTTGGGTTGCTTTCAGATTTAACTCAGATCATCTTCTTCTTCTTCTTCTTCTTAATTGAAACTCGGTTCATCTTCGTTTTCTCAGATATGGGATTTTTTTAGGATAAAAAGGTGCTATAGTTGTTGTAAATGTTAAAAATTCAAGTTTTAGATAATGAGATATTAGTTTTTTTATTGTGAATTGAATGAACTAATCAAATTCTGTCCTGGGTTTATTTTCGTTTTAAGAAAGTGAAAGTTTTCTCGACGGTTTATGATCTGTTAGCAAAATCTTGTGATAAAATATTTGATTCCATGTTTGAATATTGCAGGAAAATAGTTGATATAATTGGAACATAATGCAAACCCAGCATCTTAAGGAACATGATAGGACTGGGAATCATCCAATGGGGCAGTTGGGCTCACTGCCATGGGGGACTGCCTTAGGATCTCATCAATCCTTCCATGGAGGGGGGCCTTTGTTGGTGGAGCATCCCTCTAACGGTGACCAACATGTTTCCACTCAACAATAGTAATTCACCATAGTCCCTGGTAAATCTCATCTCAGTTTCCAGTTTCATCGTTTGAATTTAATCGAATTAATTATAAGACGATTTTTCTAACACTAAGATTCAAATTCATAAACTTACTTGAAAGATATGATATCTCGTATCCACTAAATCAACTGATAATTGATTAAGATGCATTATTGTTTCATACATTATCATTTGAGTTTTTTCTACCACTAGCTATCTTAATCTATATTCACATGTTTTTTTTATTTAATTAAAAATTTCACCACCTATTTATGAAATAATTATCCTAATATTCAATACATTTATACACGCATTAAATTTTACTACACCTATGAATCGAAGCAACGAAACTACATATTGCATGGATGGTTATTAAGCTTTGAATATTTGGTTGGTATAATGCTAAAATTAGCCCCCCAGAAATTAGTTGACCCTATTCTTATATGTAATGGAATAAGGGGAGGTAGGGTAGTAAGCTGCCCCCAACGCTAGGTTGAGAGCAACTTCTGTAGAAGACCTCCGGTAATTATGAATTGCCCACCGTGGGACTCGATCCCACGACCACATTGTATTTTTTACCCCTATTCTATTTTTTGGAGTATTTTTGTGTTCAACGTTTCATTTTAGGGTAAAAAGGCTTCTAATATTTGACAGAATAATCATTTTGTCTCCTATTCTTCTTATTTTTCCTAAGATACTTTGGTCGCCAATGTTTCATTGTAGGTTAAACAAGATTCTTATTTTGGAGCATTAATCGTGTGTTAGCTAATGATTTTCATCTATAGACAGAACTTTTTATCCCAAAGTGAAACATTGGGGCTAAAAAGCTAAAAAAAATAGGAGCTAAATGAGCATTTCGAGACGTTGGGGCTATTTTTGACATTATGCCTATTTGGTTTCCCTTACCTTTCATCAACCTAGAACTCAATGAACAACAAGATGATGACGTGGTTATATTAGTTTCAAAATTATAATGAATGTTTATAACTATAAACGTAAATTAAATATTATAACTAACACATTTTTCTATTATCATTACACAAAAACTAGTTACATAGATCATACAATGATCATAAAAGGAAAATGTTACAAACTTGTCCATAAAATTCGAACAAAAATATCGATACAAATAGATCTAACTACATCGATAAACGAACAAAAACTAAATATTTGTGTTTAATATTTATGTTCGATATCCCACGGTGGGCAATTCAAAATTGCCGAAGGTCTTCCACGGAAGTTGCTCTCAACCTAGCGTTGAGGGCAGCCTACTACCTACCTCCCCCTACCCTATATATATGGGAACAGGGTCAGCTAATTTTATTTATTTATGTTCGATATACATTTAGATTTGTGATCCTCTAACCAGCCAAGTGGTGTTTCTATCAAGGTGATTGCAAAAATTCAGGGGCCGAACATAAAGCTCGGGCAGTCATCTCTCTGCAACCTGATCCTTCAGAAAATGGCACTCGCTTCGAACTAGGATTTGGTCACCCCATGGTACATTTTTTCTGAAACATATAATACATCCAATCCGGAACAAAACCAATTTTTTGTTCAATTACTTCTTCGGTCCTTGTTAGTTTTAAAACTAGAAAAATTTAGCCTTGATTTTCTAATTTTCAGGTTCAATCTTAGATCTTTATAAGTTTTAACACTGTACAAATTAAGTCATGTCTTCTCCATTTTTTTCACTTTAAATACTTATTAAATCTCTATTTTTCACCTTATGTATATATATATATATAATAGGGTCGTATAATGCTGCCATTCAACTTGGCATCCGAAGAGGGACCAATATACGTAAATGCCAAGCAATACAATGGAATCATTAGGCGTCGGCAATCTCGTGCAAAGGCTGTGCTTGAGAATAAATTGACTAAAGTTCGAAATGTACGTGTAAGTTTCGAATACGAAAGTGTATTTGCTACAAGTATATTGTAACTTTTTTTATATCGAGACATAGAAAACATCATGGATATGATAGTTTATTGAGATTGTATAAGCTTCTGGGTATAATTTCAACCGAGATCACTAGGACACTATCATAGTCCATTAGCATGTATGATTCTTAACTTGAAGATTTTTAATGTCTTCATATGGCACAAATTGTTTACGGTCTGAGATTTTGTTCCACAGCCATATATGCATCACTCTCGCCATCTTCATGCAATGCGCCGGCCAAGGGGATCCGGAGGGCGGTTCCTGAATACCCGAAGTTCGAGCTCCGAAAAAGATGGCATTGGGAATAAGAAAGCCGCTCGAGGACTGATTACCAACCCTACTGGTTCATCTGATAGTGGAACCATGAACTCATCCAAGGGACCAAATGGAGCTGGCTCAACATTTTCAGGGTCATCAGAGGTCACCAGCATGTACTCCAGGGGAGACCTCCACCAGTGTTTCCTTATCAATCATCTTGGACTATCGGGTCCAGACTCTCTCCCGTCGATGATCGTTGATCATCGAGGCACCATTATGAAATTTTGACATCAATGGGGGGATTCTTGTGGGATTTGCTGCTAAGATATTGCACCAAAAAACCACTCCCCCCTGCAGCAACCAAGGGAAGAACTTGGGTTTGCATTATAGGGTTGTTTTGCAACACAGGCTTTGGTTGCTAGGCAAATCATTCTTGGCTCAAGTAAGCTCCTCTTTACCGCTGGTTGAAGATGCTGAAACCTTCATATATATATACGGATCAGACTATATAACGAGCTGTTTCATTTGATCCAGTAAAATGCTTTGAAACTTTGGTTATGGTGTTTGTAATCTTAAACTATGGATAATTTGTGATGCTCATGAATTGTGTCTCACATGTGCGTGTCGTGCTTGTGAACCTAATGAATTGATTAATTGAATCTTTATGGTCATAATCAACTTAACATCATGTTAGCTTAGTCTGTTAAATTGACCCATTTGATAATAAGTAAATAAAAATAATTGCCTGAGGTCTTTCTCGAAAATTGCTCTCAACCTAACGTTAAGGGCAGCCTACTACCCTACCTCCCCCTTACCCCATTACATATAAGAATAGGATAAGCTAATTTTCTTTCTTTCATTTCTCATATTTTACTTATTGTTGTCTAAATATTTTTTTTTTAAAAATAGTTCATCTATCTTCACTTTGTTTTTTCAATTCCAATTATACATTGTAGGCACCATAAAAGTGAAATTACAAAAATTACTATAAACCAAAGATCTCATCAGTAACGGTGCATCAATAAAACTGGGAAACATTAACTACCCTTTCGAGTAGATTCGAGCACAGTAAGGTAATAGGGATACCCTTGGCAGGATCCGGACGACTTGCTCGCTTCTCCTTGGTTTACTTGGTCGTTGATGGGTGTAAGATTCCAGTTCAAGACGTAGTTTGACAGGTCGTATACCCCCGGAGCGAAAGCGCAAATCTGAAGAGGAATTTCGGCAGTCGACTTAGGTTGAAGTGTGAGTTTAGTGGAGCTCGACCCTGACCATATGAACTGGGGGGCACTTTCAATGGACAATGACTTGGAAGAACGTGTTGCAAGGGCATCGTTAGTGATGATCTTTGTATCACTGACGATGGGGATATCCGACCATCCTGCTTGGTTTTCTGGAGGCTGAGATGCAGCAGCGTCGTTTATGGGTTGGCTGTTACTACTGGGGGAATCGAATGTGTTGATATGGACAGATGCAACTGAATTGGAGGAGTTGGTTATAGTCATCTTCAAATTTACTTCACATAAAGGAGCCGAGAAGTTATGTTGAATGGTACGAGGTCCATCGACTATCCATGATATTGGATTCATGCTAGAAAGACTAACAGAAAAGGAAGGAAATCGAAAACAAACATCAGAAATAAGTGGCACCTATCAATTCATCGTTAAAAGTTATTGCAATTAACGGGGACTTACCTGCAATCACAAGCATGATAGGAAAAGACAAGCGGTGTATTAGGAGCAGCGGAATCAATAGTACCCTCCGGCAGTTGAGTGATGAAAACGAAATCAACTTTAGATTCATACGCCTGGTGCAAGAAAAATATAAGCTGAAAGCGTCATCTGGCTAGTGTAAAAGATCCAAAGAATCGACAAATAACCAATCCAATCTATTTATAACAAAGAAAGGCAACATCATCATCGTCATTGATAATATATGCTTGAGAGTCGGGAATAAAGTGATTATATAGATCTGATGTATGATAATCAATATATGGATACACATTCCAGTTGATTGTTATTCAAACGAATAGCACAAAGGCAAGAAGGCTAAAAACCTGAGATGACATTCCCTGGCATGATCTTTCACAGTCATGGAAATCAGCCAAAGGCGAACTCGATACATCAAAGGGGGCTTCATTGATATCCTGAGGTCCCAATCTTACATCACTTTGAATACGGGAAAGAGGTGTACAATCTTCAGAAGTTGCTGACCTCCTGCGATCCTGGGGAAAATTAGAGAGTAATCTTAAGTCAATCAGTTAAAAAGATGAAAGAAACAAACAAGTATTACTTGGAAATTGAAGAATTCGAGATGACATACAAACCTTTACCAAGCTAATATGTGGCCTATAGCATGCATACTTACACTAAAAGGTGATAAGGTCGATAGACGAGTATAAGGTAGAATTGCAACTTATGCAAAATCTATCAATCAAGAGATCATGTTACTCTCGTCTGGATAATGACCAAGCCCCAGATTTAACCCTTGCCTTATCATTTTACAGCTTGTTCAGTTATTATCAATGAGCATTTTAGTTAAGTTCAAAGGAATACCATCAAGATCTAAAGATAGTCCTGTCCCATGGAACCAACAGGAAGGCATTTGATCAAACACCCTCTGGCCATAGCTTGACAAAAAAAAAAAGAAATCACCTAATGCTAGCTTTGCACATGTAATATCCCGCTCATTATAAAACCTCGATGAACAAATTGAAAGGAAAACTAGTGCATAAATATTTTATACCTATATGAATAATCCAAGGTGCAAGTTATTGTATAGTTGTACCAACCTTAAGCATGAAGAAACATGAGAATGATTGACCAGCAAATAAAGATTGAGAAGGTAAGATGCTATCAACAGGTTGAAGCAATGAGATCTCCCACTGCTGCCCAACAGATGACAACTGATGAACCTGGAAGCATTCGGAACTGGTCTTGTTGACAACATCCATGCGCAAGAGGAACTCTATTGATCTTGATGGGCGAGAACTAAGTTCAAATGATACATCCATTGATGGTAAAACCTAGCAGAGATGATGAGAAAGAATTAGAATGGCTAGGTAGCCAACTGATACATCATGATCTTGATTGTTCTCTATTGAACAAAATTCAAACGGATATTTTCTAGAAATTAGCCACAGCATATTGCTGCCCATGCCCCCAATAATTTTCTTTTTCCATAAATAGACTAAAATGTTCTCTGTGTGCTCCCATAAATAGATTAACATCTTGATTATACCTTTCCCTTGTTACTTTATAGGTTGATTTCATAAGACAGCTAAATAACGATTAATCAAGAAATAATCCATATTGTAAGCTACCAATGGTAATAATATAGTAAGAGAAAGGGAAAAGAATCATACTATGAACACTCAGCCTTGTCCAATTCAAGAACTTACCCGCAAATTATAATGCATGCGTAGAGTGCGATATTTCATGATGCTTGATACACCTTCCATTTCGTAATATATATTGTAATGTACAAAGGAATATTTCCGGGAACAGCAGCATGAAACCAAAGTGGCCATGATAATGATGTTTTTCTCCTGCACTGATATATCCTGAGCATAGATAAATGTAAAATATATGAATGACAAGGTGCCACAAACTTGATATAAATTGTCATCAAAGCACGCACTGGAACATTACCTCAGGAAAGTGAAACACATTCTGCGACATTTTATTACCATTAGTATGCCCACTGCTTTTCTCAACATTCATCTTTTTTAAGCAAGCAGGAAAGTCTACATTCAACTCCCTTTGATTCCCAGCATATAGAAATCTGGGATTGCTGATCTTCATCTTTAGGTTCTGTCAAAACGTTATTATAACCCCCATTATAAATAAACAACCATTAAAATAATCCATGCTATATAAAAGGACACACTACACAAGCCTGAAGGCGCAAATATGAGAAAACTGCAGTAAGTAATCCCCGCCAAACTCAGGCATCACTTGAGGCTAGACCAAGGAGCACTCTGAACAAGCTGGCTTTAATTACTCGGCAGAAATAAAACCCATACAAATACAGTATAAAGATGCATATTGACTTTTTTTTAGAATGCGACAGAGTTGGTTGACCCTAAGTCAACAACAATATAGAAAGATTTTAACACAAAAATGGTTTAAGAAAACTGCACCTTGATAGGAAACTTAGATTGGTTACTTAGTTCCAACACGAGAAGCCGCAAGTCTCCCGCGTAGGTTTTTTCTGGTAAAGAATGAATAAAACCCTCAAGTCTTGGTGTACTCTAGGCATTCATAAAAAATCAGTGCAAGTTAGATGCAGTTCTACAAGAGAGAGAGAGCAAGGGAGAGCACAACAAAAGCAGGTTCAGAGGAAACACGTGCACCTTAATCACTAGAAACTTCAAATCATTGCTAGGAGAATGCTTAGCCTTCTTTCTTCCCTTGACAACTCTTCTGTTTGCATGGCTAGACTCAAAATCACATAAACCTACTACCGAACTTGACAATTTCCATTTCACACCAACTATTTTCAAAATTCCTTCTATTCTTGGTGTAACAGTTAGTTGCACCTGAAATAAGATATAGTAAATGTTCAGAAAATTATAGTAACTTATGAGAAAAGTATTTTAATTACGGTGCACCAAGGATAAGAACATCAATTAGGTGATATACTCTTCCTCATAATTTCAATTTCCTACACAATTCTATAAGAGTCCATTAAACCAATTAAGCTTTTAGAAATCTTCACAAATAAAATTGATGTAGGTGTCAATTCATACAAACACTCCCATCGATAAATTATTCGAGTATTCCAGTAAAATACTCACCAAGGTTGTTTCACCCCCTTCTAATGAAAAGTCGACCTCAGATAAAATCAAAGACGAATTAATATCCCTGCAGTCATCATGCAAACAGCTACATCAGCAGTTGTATACAGCAATGAAGAATTGGAACCTCCCAAGAGGAAGAATATTGTAAACCAATCAATGCATGTATGCATATATATACATACACCTATATATAGGAACAAAGCAACACATACCCAGTGGAGGTTGATGTTTTGCTTTCATTATTCTGGAGCTCAATGTTTGAACTATTAGCATCTGTGTCGTAATTGATGCAACAAAAACAATTTTAGTCAATATAGAGTTGAAAGGATCAGGGCCTAAAAGAAAAAGTTAGCAGACTTTGAAAACTTGCCTTCTTCGGGATTTGCAGAGAGCTCACACGTCAAAGAAACACTTGAGACAGAAATAGGGATTTGCAGAGGGTTTCTAAATTCAATATCCACTTTTATTGCTTCTGCAAACAGATGAAGAATATATCCGCAAAAAAGTCCCATCAATTCAACAATAAATTACACCTATCACATATTCTCTTTGTTATCTAGGAAACGACTATCATATATTATTATAGGTAAAAGTTTGGGATTTCATTTAATGGTTCAATCTAAAATTTCATCACAGTAATGCAAAATCCTCAACACTATGGTAGGAAATGTAAATTAAAACTATAAATCCCTGAAATTTCTATTTCACTGCCAATAGCATTATTTCCAATACAAAGAATATAAGCTCATGTAGCATATATTAATCAATTTCATGCATTAACTATAAATCCTTGAAAATTCTCATTCACTGCCAATAGATTGTTGCCAACACCAAGAATTTAAGTTCATGTAGCATATTATATGAATCTTTTTCATGCATTCTACTCTGTCTAATAGTTGTACTCCAAAGATTGAAAAGACAGATGAAGAAAAGGATTTTATAATTCAAAGAATATACATTGGCAATAGAATTTGCATAAAGCAATAAGAGCCTTGAACACAAAATTAGCAGTAAAGGATCCTAGGCCTATCTTGTTCAAGTTGGGCCTATCCAGTTAGTTCGGAAACAATAAACTACGAAGCTGACCTCACTGTCAAATATTTGTATTATGCTTTGTTGCTAAAAAATAGCAAATTAAAACCAGCCGCCAGCCAAAAACCTTCTAAGTATTTGTTTTGACAGAATTCTAAGTTAAGAAAACAATTATTAACATTAATTGTAATAAGACCTTCATACCTCCTGCCACACAAATATTTGATTCTTTATACTTCCGTGGTATAACCTTTGATTGTAAGTCCAGCCAGTTGGACTTGGAAGTAGAGAATGATGGGATTATGTCCTCCTCCAGTGAACGCCATACACTTTCTCTGACACTAGCCTGGGAAAGAATGAAACGCCCATGAGTCTATGACATCACCCACAAATAATCTTACTTCTGAAACAAATTAGATAAGTATATCGATATTTCAAAAAAAATAAAGATAAGTATATCGATGAAGTATGGAGAGCATATTTTGTTTATGCTTACACATTGATTTCAGTAATTCCATGCAAAAAATCACAATAAAAGTAAACCAAACTAGCAAGCCTTAAGCCAATATGTCTAGGGTTGGTTACAAGTATCAAGACAATGAAACATCTCCTTCAGATACTTGAATCCCTCCCAACATTCTTATCCACCAAACAAATAATGATTTCACTTACAGCTTCAGCAGAGGCATTAGTTCTATGATCTTCAAAAATGACCTTAAGGGTGGAAATGTTGATAACAGGCAACTGAAGTTTCACTACCTCAAATGTCTTCCCAGTTTTCTGTATCATCCATGAAAAAAAAGAAGCAATTAAACAACCCTGTTAAACTTGCACATAACAAACTAATAAGACAAGCCCACTTTTCAAACATAGGGTAGATTTTCTATGATCTAAGAAGCTCCGATATCTTTTCATATTCCTCAGTCAACGAAGCACAGCGGAAATCAAATTAACTTCTGATCCACCTGGACAATCTGAAGAAAATCTCTCAGAAACAGCTCCTGCTTTGCCTTCGACTGATGAGCGCTGGCCAAGACTTCCAGCATATGAGTGACAGCAACATCATACATGCCAAGTAAAGCATACCACCTATACCAAGTGGGAATTATTAGAAAAATTCCACAATAAAACTCTGCAACAATTACATTCATATAGGATCCGACTGCACCATATATGAAGCTTACTGTCCAGTGTGGAAATGAACATGATCTTTAATAAGACTCCAAGAGGTTTCCTTATAAACAGGGATAACACTTCTATATGTGCGAATCGCATGTTTAATCTGAAGAAGACATTGTAAAATATTAGAAGAGGGAAGATTTGATATATTCCCACAATACTTGAGGGTTTCGCATACCTGATCACATTTTTTGTAATGATCACCAGAGAGAACAAGATGAAACCCATATTTATGCAACATTGGTGGTTTTGATAACAAGTAGCAAAAAGATGCTTGCTCAAGCAACACAGCCGAATGTAAAGTATCCTAAGGGGAGAAAACAAAAAAGGTTGTGAGTGGCAGATAATATGCACTTTCCCAAAGTAATTCCTAGGAAATAGAACATTACCTCGCCACAAATGCGGAAATAAACAGTGGCTGCTTCTTTAACCTGGTCTCTTGTCTTCAGCATCTCTACCCACCAAAGACCACATCTGGTAGCATTTTGTCGACCAGCAGATCCAAGTTTCTGCAATAGTTGAATAAATAAAGGAAAAAGGAAAATCAATGGAAAGAATTAACACTCGGTGTTTGCTACATTAAAAGTTTAACTTGGCATCTGCCATCACTAACTGTCACCACAACTGATCCTAATTACTTACGCAGACCAATATAAGACCTAGCTCAATCTAGCAAAACGAAAATTCCCAAATCATCCCCAAGGTCATAAGTACTTTACATGTTAACTACTGGACCAGCATATAAGGAAACAACAACGAAGGTCATTTTTCTTATACCAAGGAGCTTTCTTTACTATTGAAGAACCCATTAAGTTCATCTCAGGCTTATTAAGAAAACAGCATCCACCTGACCTAGCTATTGCAAGCCACGAACCCCATCCACCACAAATCACAAGCAGATGACTTTACCAAAATTCCCATCATTCACATGATAACTTCTTCAATCCCAGCAGACACATTAAGCTTACTCATGGTTAAAACCTAACTGCTAATCTAAAAGCAAGCATCCACACCAACTATAGCAAAATGGATGTTAAAGATGTTGATAATTTGAAGCATAAATGGCTATATCAAACAGGGCATACGAATATGAAGAAAAATAATGATGATATCTAGAATTAGTTCACTTAAATTTTGTAGTTTCTATTTTTTCATATACTCGTCAATTGATCAATTTTCTTCTTCAGCTTAAAAATCAAGGGTTCCATGCTATGGATTGCTTTTAAGAAAATAAAGGTACTGAAGGAAAGCTATAAGAAAATTAGTATAAATCATATATGATCAAATATATTCAGTTCTAAATCCTAACAAAGAAAAAGGAAAGAAGCCAAGAACTATACATACTAAATAAGTATTAAATGCATTTTCCATGCAATACTCCGCATCTTTTCTTGATTGATCAAGCATGAAGTAGGTAAGTCCCATCATCTCCTGAAGAAATGAATAAGACACGATAAGGTTGCAAAATAGGTACAATAAATCCATAAAGAACCCAAATGTACATTAAAAGGTTTTCATGAGATCTATTTCAAAGAGAATAAACATAAATACATGATATCCTTATATTTTGAAGTAGCAAACCATTCACATGAAACACAAACCAAGCAAGTGAAAAGAAAAAAAAATCAATATAGAGAACAGAGAAAATGGTATTAAGAGCGAGATAGCAAGAGAGAGCATTTGAAATAACCTGCACACCAGCATAGCGCTTCCAGGCTTTATCAATCTTGTAATCAGTGGAAATTAGGCGATAATTCGATAGTGCAAGTTCATAGTCCCCTAACATGAATGCATAGTCACCTAAAATTCTAATCTGAGATTCAATTGACTTAAAGGTATACCTATGAGCAGAGGAAATAAAACTAAATTAGGATAAACTCAAGAAGAAACGAGAAACAGATTTTAATCTCAATGAATGAACAGCATCACTCACACAGGACCATTAGCGGTAACTACAGTATCATCTTTCCCCTTCCTCCACCACAAGTTCTTAATTTGGTTCCTAAAACCTTTTCTTGTTGCAGAAACCTAATTTTAATATGAAAGATGACAAGAGGAATAAGAACATTATTTGAGAATTTCAGGGGAAAAACCAATACATAGAAATTCTGATAAGAACATGAGGAACAAAATTGGGGAGCTAAAATACCTCTTGGTTCAACACACGTATCTTTTGTTCCATGTAAGGAATGATATGTTTAGATGATAATTCTAGCAAAAAATCCTTTATCTGTTACCAAATAATGCAACCATAAGTAGAATGACAAACAAAAGTACCCCAGAATATTAGATCAAGGAGTTGGAAAGTTACCTCATTCAAGTCATCAAGATCGAGGAAACCACCAAGATTTTCAGTAGGTAAAGCATCAGGTTTCTGTAACAAAAGAACATGAATTAAAGCATTATTTGTTATATACTTTAGCTGCACCTTGAACCTGAACCAACATAAGATTCAGCTAACATTTTCCTATGAACAAGTAAATAACTGAAGATAATAATCCCTCAAAGTCAAGTAATTTACAAATGGAGCCCAAGGGTTATCTTCATGATGGATTTGCCCATCTTGAGAAGAATTAATGTTAATTATTTGACAGTCATTTTGGCCAAATGCATTTCTCATCTCAGACAAAAGCTTAGTAGCCCTGCAACCAAAAGATAAATAAAATAACATTCAGCTAGCTGCACTACAGATCATATCATATATTCATTTCACTCATATGGCATCCACTTAATTAACTGAAAAATATAGAAATATTATTGATTAATCTATATCAGGTCTTTAGCTTCCTTTTTGTTGATTATATTATCAAAACTATCCAACAATTAAGTAGAAGAGTAGAACTTATGAGAAAATCCTGAATGGCATAAATTGAATGTAAGTTAGTCTGAAATTGGCTTCCCCAGACTAAAAAAATGCTCATTCTATTCCAATTTTCACATTATGATGATCCATTTCCGACAAGCTTCTTTGAGGATGTTTTCTACCCAAATCATTTCATTTGTCTTATTCCATGAAATGTGGATTTCTTCAGCATGATGGGAATCTCAGTAGTCTTTTGCTATTCAAACCCATGTTCTTCTCATTCTCCACATGATCTTGTTTCCTAACTCATAGAGATGGTAGGTAAATCTAACGCATTCAATTGGGTTGAACAGTATCATTCTTCCGAGCCATGCATGCAGCCATTTTACAAGTCTGGATAAGAAAGTGGGGAAAAAATACAATATATATCTGCATTGCTCTACCATCTTGAAACAGTATAATAAAAGGTTATAAAGGCATACACGTTCTTCTGAAATGATAGATCAGTGTTTAACGGCATCATTGTCATGCTTATTGTCATAGCAAGATAAGAAGTGTGGCATACTTATCTAAAGGACCGTCTTGATCATCATGCACAAGTAAGTAATGCTTCAAAATCTTTGGGTCCATTGCACCATCATTGAGAAGAGAGGGCAATTTGCTGGTGTTAAAGAGGTCTACAAATCTGTTTATAGGTTCATCATCCTTCGAGGACACAACCAAAAGGCCTAAAGATCATTTTGGACAAGAAATAATCAACAACTTAATCATATATGGTGTCCAGAATAAACATTTTAATGAAACTCGTAAGTGAAAGAAACAAGATTAGTTGATCTTAATCATGCAAAAGGAAAAAAAGGCAAGTTCTCTGATAATCTTCCAAAGCTTACATGCCACGGGATGGTCAAAAGCTTCATGATCTGAAAAAGACAATGTACGTACAAGCTCTTTGTTAAAAAACTGAAACCACGATGGTAAAATTTCAGATTCAGGCCCTGCAAAAAAAAAACATTCACCGTATATTAATGAAAGCAGCAAGGTGATCTTTTAATAAAACCACAAAAGAAAGGGCAAGCAATGAGATCAGAAAATCTCGATAATTTAGGAAAAAAGAAAAACTAGCCACCAAGGAATCAAATTGCTAATATACTAAAAATATCAAAATCAAAAGTAAACTTACTAGAGAGAAGATCGTTAATTTGAGATGGTTCTGAAGATTCAAGAAAAAATTTCTCTCCCGCACGGGTAATAACCTGCTTTAGCCTCTCTTTTGCTACCTAGGAGATCAAAATTTAGTTTCAGAATAAAAAATCATCAAAATCTAAAGATGAAAATTATAACGTGATTGAAATTGATTGAAATTGCAAGTGCACTATGGAGCTCGAATCCACCAACTTTTATTCCAGCCAAACCAAAACCCATCACCTTCCTTCATCTGCCTATTTTGCAATGCACAACAAAACCCTTAAATCAACTAAATTACGGTCCTTAATCAAAGCTCAGTAATCAATTCCAACAGAAACAGCTCTAGGTAGCTTCCAACTCAACTAGTACCGATTGTAATTCATACCAATTTAAGTAAACTGATTAAAACATTTAGCACTACATTATTAAGCTACGAAACTGGTGATCTCAATAGAAATTACCTCGAGATCCGGCTGCCGAATATCCGAGGAGTAAAACAAGCGCAATTTGAACTTCCGCAGCCTGTAGGGTTGATCACTCGACGTTCGTACAGGCACTACCACAAAAATCCAGATAAGTAACTTGCAACAAACAAAGAAATCACTTCAAATGCGAGATACATATACACGTATAAATTCACATTATATAATCCGTATGGAATAAATTTGAAAATTTTCACCGTCAATGTTTGTGAAGTCGCAGAAAGGGGAAAGCATCTGGACAAAGGATATTCCGTTCTTGAGGCAAGATTGTTCCACAAGTGGAGTGCAGAGTACCATAACAACAGGAGCGATCTCCTCCAATAGCATTTTACCAAGTGGCGTGTTGGCCGGATCCGCCATCACTCTCGCCCTCTCCTCCGGTTGTCGTTTCGCTGAAAGCTAATGAGCCGGATGTGATTTCTGGGCGAGCTGACTCGGGAACTTTGAAGAACCAATTAGATCAGTTCCGGAGAATATAGCCTTCCACTTCCACCGGATTCTTCAATCCGATCTTTTCTTGTTTTGGTGTCAAATTCAGGTTTCGAATTTGTGACAGAGAGCGAGCGAGAGCTTCAAGAAATGAATATAAACGAAGATGGCTGACAAATGGGGAGCCTAGCCATAGCAAACCCAATCCAATATTCTTCGATTGGGCCAAGAATTTCAACTCAGCCAATGGACCAAGCTTTCGGACGATTCAAGCTTAGGTTTCTAAAATTCAAGTAATATGTATATTGTTTTTATATTTTATAAGTATAAAATGGTTCATTTATTAAATGATTTTTTTATAGAAATCACTAATTTTATTCAAAATAGGAAATACCGTAAATTAAAATTAAGATTTACAATCATAATCGTAAATTAAACATATAATTAATATAATTTCCTATAATCATTGAAATAAAACTAATAACTTATGATCACGTAAAGATCATACAAGGAAAGATTAAAATCTAATCAAGAAAACTCAAACAAATATAGATTCAAACAGATCTGATCGCACCGGAAAACGAACCAACTAAAAGACCACAAACAAACCATAAATCATATTTGAGCGACATTAAAAACTATTCACGAACGCATCAACCATGGCGTTTCATTGTCCTTCCTTTTCATCTATGGAAGATTGCCCTTTGACTTCAATGCCACTGTATCCATCACTCGATGAGCTAATCTTGGTGAATACCAACCAGCTCAAGGCCATTCAAGCATACCATTCAGATGATCATCAACCTCTTCTCTTCCCCTATCCAAATCGAAATGCTTTGATGTGCATAATATTGAAGTATAGCCTCGGATACGCTAGATGAGTGCATGCAACAGATGATCGGTCTGCATCTTCCGGAGTGGCTTCAACATGTAACGAATCAGCTGAAAGAGCTCTATCTCCATAATTTGCTCAATTTAGCATCTTTTCCAGACGAGCTGCATTGCCTAACCAGTTCGGAACAGTTGCATATGCTACAACTTTCCCACTTGCCCAATTGGCATCAGATCGCTCACACGCATTTGGATGAATTGTGTTTTCTATTTTGAAGCTGTGAATACATCTCTGACTTGTTTTCTATCTTCAGGTTCAGGTGCAATAGCTACTGTAGTTGATCTAATTGCTTTACACTTGAATTCATAATGATCTCAGAAGTAACTGCAATCATCTAATAGTTAATGTTACTTTTTGTCAGCATAAGCTTAATGGAAGACATACATTCTTCAGGAGCTGATCCATTCCTCGTCATTGGAGTCCTCCATGTTTGATGTACGCGGGAAGAAGAGAGCTAAGAGAGCATATATGTCTTTCCATGACTGGGGACATTATTATGCATGCAATATGCAGATTGTATATCAGGGTTATAGTGAGTGAAAGATTTCAATTGGTAAAGGTATTGAGGGAGATAGTTCATACTATGTCTGCAACAATTATGAGATCTGAATAGTGGTCAGATTGGCTGCTGTTTGTGCTTATTGCTTGGGGAGGGAAGGTCTTGTTTTATTCTCTCACTACAGCAAAACATAGTTTTAACGGCGTTTTTTCAGTCCTATAGCAGCGTTTTTAAACGCCGCTAAAAGCACTTGCGACAATAGGAAAAACGCCATGCAACAATATGCAGATTGTATATCTGTGAATGTCGATTTTCAGTTATATCTATTGTTCAGGATAAAATGTATATATCGTGTGATCATGGTTGGATGGAGGATGTAGTATTACAAATAATGAATATTTTCCTCAATCATCATCCATTATAAGTTTATATGTATGAGTTCAATTCAAAGGGATCTATTTCCTTATGTTTATAAGGAGTTTTACTCGAAGATATAAAGCACACGGATCTCGAATGTAACTCACTATCTTATATAGAGGTTTAACTCTTGATGGCATAGTATTTGCTCCCATTTAAATGGGATAGAGCTCGGGTTAAGAACTCGAAAATAACTCATTATCTTGTATGAAGGTTTACTTCTCAAGGGCATAGTATTACTCACTTAAATGAGATAGAAATGGGATGAGAACTCGAAAATAACTCACTATCTTGAATGAAGGTTTACTTCTCAATGGCATAGTATTTACTCTCACTTAAATGAGATAGATATCGGGTTGAGAACTCGAAAATAACTCACTATCTTGTATGAAGGTTTATTTCTCAAGGGCATAACATTTACTCTCACTTAAATGAGATAGAAATCAGGTTGAGAACCCGAAAATAACTCACTATATTGTACGAAGGTTTAATTCTCAAGGGCGTGGTATTTACTAACACTTAAATGAGATAGAAATCATATTAAGAACTCGAAAATAACTCACTATCTTGTATGAAGGTTTACTTCTCAAGGGCATAGTATTTACTCTCACTTAAATGAGATAGAAATCGGACTGAGAACTCGAAAATAACTGACTATCTTGTATGGAGGTTCACATGTTATTTTTAGAGATCGTTCACAAATCAACACTCATTTTTTATAAATTTTGAAACTTTTTAATTTTAAATATTTTTTATTGTTGAATTAATTAAGTTTAATAATTAAGATTAAAACTTATAAAATTAATTTTATATAATAAATAAAGTTAGGAAGCCCTAATTGTTATGGAAATTTGAAATTACGAATAAAAACATAAAATTTAAAATAATACAAAAGAAGGATAACACAAAGGATGGAAACCAATCCTTTGAGATATGTATATCCCTTTAAAGCTGTGGTTTTCATGTATTTGTCCATCTAATGAAAAACCAATCCATTTATCCATCGTATATTAAAATGTTTTCATGTAGAAGAAATAAGAATTTTATTTTATTAATTATATTTAAAAATATTGTACTATTTTTTATATATAGGATATATTCACGTTTAAAAGTTTGATATTAATGTAAAATAAAAGTTATAATTAAAATTAAAATATTTAAAAATTTATATATTAATTTAAGATGGTGGGGATGCACACCTATTTTAAGATAGACACATGTGTACCTTGAAATTCAATTTTTTTTCGATTATTGATTTTTTTTACACACAAATTTAGGTCAGGGGTGGCTCCCCCAGTCCAGGGTCAGGGTGCACCTAAGACCCAATTGGGATTTACATAGGACTTTATAGATTGACCACCAAGAGTGTCTGTGGTAGGATTTAAACTTGATCTTACAAACTCAAATTCCTGAATCTAAATCACTTGTACCAACACTCGTTGGCTTCGATTAGTGATTTATTTTACTAAATATATTCACCCTAAAATTTTATTTATATTTATTTCATATTTATTATTAATATATATATATATATGTTCACTCTAAGAAAAATAGCTCCATTGGACCATTACTGATTTATAATGAAAATTATAATTTAAGAATGTGTAATAAAAATAATATATATATATATATGTGTGTGTGTAATTTGCATGATATTCAAAAACAAAACTTCACATCTTAAAACTGAACAAACCAACTCCACACATAGCATATGGGTGGAAAAGACTGCGGCGATCATGGCAAAGCCCGCCGGAAGTTTTTCCGGCGAATTATGTATTGCATTCTGATCTTCGTCCTCCTCGTTCTCATCACAATCTTTCTTATTTGGGCAATCCTTCGTCCGAGCAAGCCTAGCTTCACCCTCCTCGACACCACCGTTTACGCCTTCAACGCCTCCGCCGCCAACTTCCTCACTTCCAACTTTCAGATCACGCTCCGTTCACGGAACCCAAACGACGATATCAGCATCTACTACGACCGCCTCGACGTCTACGCCGAGTACCGGAACCAAGAAATCACCCTCCGGTGCCGACTCCCTCAAACGTACCAAGGTCACAATGAGGAAAACACTTGGTCGCCTTTTATATATGGTACCATGGTCCCGGTCGCGCCGGAATATTCCTTCGCTTTGGGCGACGAACAGGCTGCTGGCTCTGTTTACTTGATGATCAAGGTTGATGGACGGTTGAGATGGAAAGTTGGGACTTTCGTTACAGGGAGTTATCATATTCACGTTAGATGCCCAGCTTATATTACGTTCGGGGGCCAAAGCGATGGCGTTTCAGTCGGAGAAAACGCTGTTAAGTTTCAGTTCGTAAACAGATGTGATGTTAGCTTGTGAGGAAGAAGAAGAAGCGTTAACGCCGTTAAGTATATCGTTTGTTTCTCTGTGTTAACTAGTTTCCCTCGTTTTTATTTGACGCCGTTAATATTTTTATTATTTTCTTTTATAGTTTTAAATATAGTAAACGCAGAAAATTAGTAAATTAGGCAATGAATAGAGAAGAAAATGTAGATTTTTCTAGGGTAAATTACAAGTTTATGCCCCAACTATCACATTTTTTCCGTATTGATTATCTAACTATTTTTTTATTTCAAAATCATACTTAATGTTACGTTTTGATTTTATTTTAGTCATCCACCTATCACTTTTGATCTGTTCCGTTTTTAAGGTAAACCATACCTCTCAAACACAGATTTAGGTTCGGCTTTAATGGAAAAATAAAATAGAGAACCTAACAACGTATCTTCACAAACCAAAAACTACAAGATTGGCGCAGTGTACAGATTAATTAAAATTTTAAATCATAGATTTATTATCTAAATCAGATAAAATTTTATATGTCAAAGATTAAAATCTCCTTATAAGTAGGGATGGGCATGGGACCCGAAACCGACGAGTTTCGACCCGACCCAATCGAGTTGAACTTTTAAAAAAAATCGGACTCGAGATCGGGTCCAACAAATCACGTGGGATTAATTGCTATATATATTTTACATTTTAAAAGCAAAATTTTTCATGATGGACAAAGCTACAATAAACACATACAAGTTGTTTTCCCCTTGTGAGCATGCAGAACTGGAAAATAATTAAACAATAATTCAAGTTGATCATTGGATCATTTTAAATATTAATTTTTTTATTAAAAATTACAAATAAATAAATAAGAACAATTAGATGGTTGGAATTTTGCCTTGTAACATTATAAGCCTTTAGGTCATCTCCAGCCCTTATCTCTACTCTAGAGCATCTCTATCTTTATTCTAGAGATGAAACAATAATTCATCTCCAGCAATATCTCTACATTACCATCAACTTTACTTTATTCATAATATTTAACTATTATAATATTAATTTTACAAATATAAAAAATCATAAAAAATACAAAAAAATCCGAAAAATCACAAAAAAAATATGATTATTTATATAATTTCAATGTATTTTTATCTATCTTATAATTTAATATATTTTAATTAAAAAAGAAAGAAAAAAAAATAAAATGTAGAGCGCGGTACTGTAGCAATTCGTTACTGTAGCGATAGATATAGCGCAGGGCCGGAGCGCGCTACAGTGGAAATATCTCCACTGTAGCGCAGCGTTGGAGATGCTCTTATAACTCATTTAAGGTTTAGGGTTTGACAATAGGTAGCCATGGAGATGCTCTTATAACTCATTTCAAGGTCTAGGGTTTGACAATAGGTAGCCAAAGTGCCAAACCAAAGGCTTGAACTCAACAACAATAAATGATAAAGAGAAGGGCATGCACATCAACTCTTATGTAATTTCTATTTTTTTACCTTTTGCATTTTAATAAATATATGTTAATAATTTTTGTAGGAACCTTTTTTTAAAATTAATCACTGGTATCCGATCTATTGACCGACTAATCCAGATCGGGTACTGCAGAGACGAGGGCGACCCTCCCAACCCAATTTGCTCCATTCGCAAACACCAGGATTTAAACCCCTGACCTTGCTTAAGGGACCTAGTGTCTCATCCTACTAGACCAACTGATTGTTAGGTTTGTACGAACCTTTCAACTGTTTTTCTATATTAGTAAATGTTATAGTAAAATGAATTATTATTTAATTTAACGAGATAAATGTTATATTTTTAAATAAATTAGTAATTTTAATCATAACATTTTTGAATTGAATAATAGACCTATCAAAGAGTAGGAAGATTCACTCGAACAAAGAAAATTTTGGACTGCAACTTAGGTCTGATACATAGGTCTAATTTTTTTTTTTTGATATCAATAAGTTTTCTTTATTATTTTGGGGGCAAAATTGAACAAATCGGGAAGTTAAGAGTTCATAAAGGTAAAAACGAAAGAGTTCAAATACATTAATTGTAATTACACACAAAATGCTTCCCTCCACATTTATCCGAAACAAAATATCCCCCCTTTTCCCTCGTTTTCTACTTTCTATCTCTAACGTCTAAACCCTCACTTTCTCCCTCTTCCCTTTTTCCTAATTCCAGTTCTGCCCCCGCCTCCACGTCTGGCGGCGCCCGAGCCTCCGGTGGTCCCGCCTTGCCGTATTCTTCTTCTTCTACGGCTTCACCCGCACTTTCATCCACGGCTCCATCGATTGTTCCGCTGATAAGTCGCCACCTGGCCTTCGCCTCGACGAAGCCGCCATTTGTTCATCCCGACGATTATCACAGATTTTCCTCTAGTGCAATAAAGGCTATTGGAATCATCGCCGATCAAGAAGTTGAAGCAATTGTTGTGAGATCTCCAGTGAGTTTAATTGTTCGTTTTTAGAAATGGCGGTTGCAGCGTAATTAGTCACAGTATATCAATTTTGATGAGAATTATACTCTTACTAACGTTTAGTGTCATGTGCTTAATTTCTTTGTAGATTATTTTGATTTGTTCATTGAGAAAACCTTTCATGTTGGCTAGTTTTCTCAGGGGATGAATTATCATTAGAATTATTTGTTTGTGCAGTGAAATTATTATGCCTGTACTTTAATATGTGAACTTTTGGTGTGCCGTTTACGTATTTGGAATTTAATACATGCTGGCCTCATCCAATGCCTATGCCTTAATTTGAGAAGGCTAAGTTTTAGTACTATAATTTTATTCTGACATGCTGATGAGGCAAAGATCTAGTGATTGAGTTTTGGGTTTTTGGTTTTGATTTTTTGGATTTCAAACATAATTGCAATTGATAGCATGTCCTATATCTCCGTTTGTTATACTTGCTGTCTTTTTATCTGCAAATACTGAGTAAACTTGTAATTTAGCCTTCCGTTGGCACTGGTCTGAAGTACTGCTGTCATTTTCTCAGCAATTAAAAAGGAAGAGCACAGTGGACAAAAATGAAGTTGAATCTAGCCAATGGACAAGCAGCCCAGGAGTTACCAGCATGTCCAACAGTCCCTTCCAGACTCCTGTATCTGCTAAAGGAAGGGTAAATAATAGATCAAAGACCTCAAAGGCCAATAAATCTACACCACAAAAATCTGTGTCAAATGTGGGTGAGAAACTGCCTCCTACTAGCATAGTCCGCAGAAGGAAACTTATGATCAGTCCACAGTCCGTTATCAATACTCTAATGTTTGAATTAAGAGAGAGATATCACTTCCAAGAGGAACTACTGACATTAGATGTGGTAATTGGCAGGTTCTCCATGTCCTCTTACACCTGCTGGCAACTGCCGGTATGACGGTTCTTTAGGTAATCTTACTATTATAATTTTTCTTTTAACATCGTATTTTTGTTTCCTTAACCTTCTATAGATGGTAAGAATCGCCATAATGTGGTCATGCTTTTTAGGTCTGTTGACAAAAAGTTTGTTAATCTGATAAAGCATTCTGAAGATGGTATCCTTGACCTAAATAAGGCTGCAGAAACATTGGAGGTAATGATACACAACTAGTGAGTTTTATACAGTTGGGTGCTTAGTGAGTGTTTTCTCATACTACTTAAAGGGTTCTTTCCCCCACACCCTAAATGTTGTAACAGGTGCAGAAGAGGAGGATTTATGATATAACAAATGTCTTGGAAGGCATTGATCTTATTGAAAAGAAATTCAAAAACAGAATACGCTGGAAGTAATTATTTGATGTGTTCAACTTTTTCTTGAATTTGATGTCTTAATTTGGTTTGTCATTCTGGTTAACCTTCAAAGAACTTGGGATTTTTTTGAGGATTAATCAAATTTACTAGGGGCGTTGGTGCTTCAAGGCCAGGAGAAACAGATGTTGATGTCTCTGTTTTACAGGTACGTGAAAATAATATCAAATTTCTTTTTCTTTGACACCAAGGCAACAAATTTTCCTCTTGTTGTGCATTAGAATTTTTCTTTAGTTCTTTATGTTGACTAATTACTTTCTAAAGATTTTCAGTAAGTGCTGCTTTACCAATTGTGTTATATTTCTGATACATATGAGCTTGATTTCTTTTCCTTTATGCAGGGTGAAATTGAGAATCTTTCCATGGAAGAGCACAGATTTGATGATCAAATAAGGTTGTACGTGGCTTATTCTCGAGTTACAGTAGTAACCGTTATAGGAATGCTGATTGCTTCTAATTTATTGCAGAGAAATGCAGGAAAGGTTAAGAGATTTGAGTGAGAATGAGACCAGTCAGAGGTAAGATTCTTTTGCTTGCCTTGCACTGGAATCCAATTAATTGAAGTTAACTGCTAATTATTTGCAAAAAGAATTTACATTTACTTATCTTCAAACCGTTTCAGGTGGCTATTTGTGACCGAAGAAGACATCAAGGGTATACCATGTTTTCAGGTTTGTTGATTCCATACCACTATACTAACACTTGTGCAATCATCTGCATTTGACACTAATCTCCAAGACATCTTGGTTTTACTATAGCTAAATTTTTCATGTTGCTTTTGGAAGAATGAAACCCTGATAGCAATTAAAGCTCCACATGGAACAACACTAGAAGTACCTGATCCTGATGAGGTAAGATCACTAGAAAACTTTCATGAGTTAGTACAATGCTCCACTTTCATGATTTAAAGGCATAATGGGGTTGCTCCTAAATAATCCAGGATGTTGACTATCGACAAAGGAGATACAGGATAATCCTTAGAAGCACAATGGGTCCCATTGATGTTTACCTAGTCAGGTGTTCCTTCTCTTATATATTGAACCATTTATCCATACATGTTTATGAACCATCTTTCTGCTGAAATAAAACTAATTGATGATAACAAGGGAGGTTGTTTAAGTGTCTTTCTCTTTTGTCTTTCTGCTTCAAATTGTTGTTTCCTCAGCCAATTTGAGGAGAAGTTTGAAGAGATGAATGGCGGTAACCCACCTCTGGGTGTTCCACTTGCTTTGAGTTCTGGCTCTAATGGAAACCAAGATGAGTTGGTCTATACGGTTGGCACCCGAGAGGAGATTGAACCACTGGCACAGCAAAATCATCAAATTGGCTCT